CGTCCTACAGTGGGAACCGTCCTACCAAGTATTTCTCCAAAAAAATGGGGAATGACCGAGTTGCGTTGACTTTGAGTTCAACTTTGAATTGAAATCCAAATCGACTTGATTGGTTTGGGTAAATTTTAATTCAAATCGATTCAGTCCAGTCATTGAATTGAACAAGATCAAATCGATTTGGATCAACTTGGTTTGATTAGATTAATCGGTTTGGACAGTGGTACGAGTTAAAAAAAATTGCATACCTATTGGGTTAAAAAATTTGATTTCATGTACATATATGTATATTTTTGCTTGCGTGATACATATCGATAATACATATAACGTAAATGGTAAATGATCGATCTTTTTAAAATCATTGTATATATTCGATGATTACCAACAAACAATTACACCAAAATAAAAAGTAACGCTACAATCTAAATTTAGAGTTTAAAACAAACACTTCTTCTTCTTACTTTTTTTATTTTAAAATTTAGAAGAAACGTAGAGGTAAACAAATTATCTGTGAATGAATTATATTCTTGTTTTTATTATTTTATTTTTAAGTTTAAAAGGATAAATTTTAAAATTAAAAAAAAAATGCATTAGCAGGGCGAATCAGTTAATTGACTGGTTGGTTGCCTAAACCGAAACCAGTCCGACTCGACTTTTTAATGGTTAAAATCAACTTAATCAAACCAATCCAAACTAACCTGACTCGGTTTGGTTTGGTCGTTTTGTCAGTTTTTTGCCTACCCCTAGGAACGAGGCACAATACTTGTTGTGGATTTGTCGTCATTTTCGTTTTAGGGCCCGTTTGGCATAGATATTGTGGAAGTCAAAATGAGCTTGTAAAATTCAAAAGCTATTTTTGAACAGTTTGATTAATTTTATAAAAGTTCTTCTTGTAGTTATAAATTAATTATTTCCTCTATAAACTCTTACGGAAGAGGAAGCTTTTTGGGAATTACAAATTAAAGTAATTTGCTCATAAAATTCTTCTATGAGGAGCATATGCAAAAGTAAAAATCATGTCAAACGAGCCTCCCGGGGCACATCTAAGTTGGCAAAGGATGGGCATTGCTGGGCTTGCAACCTCAGGGTGGGGAGTTCGATTCCTGGATGGAGCAGCTGAGCGTTGTAATACTCAATTTGGGTGGAGTAGCTTGGTGATGTAATATCCATGGAGGAAGGCTCCCTTGGG